AACAAAAGACATTTCAGGCTTTTGCCAAAGCATTTTCTGGCCTTGAAAATGTATTTACATTACTACAGTATTTAGAATTTTCTATGGCAGGTGAATATCTTTGTATTTGAAAACCCTAAAACATCAAATTCACTGCAAGTCATTCTATAACTTAATGAATTAAAACACAAATTAGAATGTGAGTTGTGGTTTAGAAAAGGAAGAAGAAAACCAAGTCCTGAGTAGAGACTATTAGTTGGCTCAGGTCTAGTTAGAAAGAAACAGTTTTTACACAACTACCACTGCCTTTAATTCTTGTTTTTAGTTTGCAGCACAGAGAAAATATAGATGAGTTTTCTAAAATTTTTCCTCTCAGATCAGTTCTTTGATAGACTCTGGTTCCTATGTAGAAACAGCAAAGGTTGTTCAACCTGTGATGAAAAGTAAGTGTCCATTAACAACTATTTTTGTTGTATGTTTTCTTCAAAAAAGGTGAATTTCAATCAGAAGTCTTTCCTGGATACAGGAATGCCTGTGTTAATGTATTTCAATAAATAGGAAATGGTGTGAGTTTTAAACAAAATAAATAACTATTTCTGGAATATAATACTCAAAGAACATTTTTATCCTGTCACTGCACTGTTACTTGTCTTTATAAAATATAATCTTCCCATTATTCCAGTGACTGGGCTTTAAGCACTGCTGAGTTGCAAGACAATTTTTCCAGAAATAAGATCCACAGTTACTAACCTCATTGATTTTCAGATTCCCTTTCTCATGATGTATCTAACTGTCGGTGTGCCCAAGTGCCCATTACTTTATGTGTAAGGGTATGGGGAGAAAAAAAAAATAATGTTCTCAAAAAAAAAAAAAAATATTAAGGAAAAACTTAATATGCTTCAAATTGGAGATGATACCTTGGAATCTAAAAGAATGGGATCTTAGATTTATTGTCACTTGTTTGAAAATTGTTCTGATGATTCTTTAAGCCATGCAAATATCACAGATCTGGAAGACTGTGCTTTGTTGTGTTTATACTTGTTATATATATATATATATACACTTTAGTTGTATTTAACTTAAATTGACATGCTTGATTTTTTAAAGCAGAAAAGGCTCATATAAAATCTAATGTTGTGGGGTTGTATCCTTTTGAAAATCAATCCTTGTGTTCTTAAATATACAGTATGTTATAGAAGAACCGATAAAAACTGGTTTCTGGAACTGCGTCATTTAATCAAGAAGGAAAGCATCAGATCACCTTTACAAGTGTATTTTTGATAAAATTAATGACAACTGAATAGGGTTATTCTGACAGGGTAATTTGGGACAGATGAGCTTACAGGATTTGAGGAAACATTACTGGATTCAAAATATTAGCAAGTCATTTATAATTATGACTTACTATGAGAAGCTGGGTAGAATTATGCATATATTGTTTACAGAGGTTACAGTTAATGAAAACATCCTAAAATATCTCTGTTCATAACATCCGTAATATTCTTAATCACTTTATTAATTACAATGAAATAACACATTTAAGACAATGAGGATTGTTTTTATAGGGTTCAAATCTACTTTTGCTCAATATTTTCACTTCAAAAATTATTTCTGTGAAAGAATTAGGGACAAACCCTTATTCCCACCCACATTAGGTGATCAAGTACTAATCAAGTGATACATCAAGTACTAATGATTTTTATAAAAGTTGCATCTCCCCTTTGTGAATATCCTGTAGGCTGATAGTTGAAGGATTGATTAGTGTGGAAAGTTGTGCATCAGAAATAATCTGTTCTTAGCAGGAAATCCATTTCTAGTACACAAATAATTTTAAGGTTGTAAAATGTGATCAGAAATTCTTAGTTTTAATGCCTGGTGATTTAAATAGACCCTTCATTAAAATCTCAGATGTTGGTGCATTTCAAAACTCTTCTCAATTCAACAGTGTACATCCATGTACATGGATCTATTACTGTGTTCTATCAGGCAATTCTTTCATGCCAAACAGAACATGAGAATTAACTAGCAGTTTCCTCTGCATCTGTGACAACAAAATAGTGGGAATTTTTTCCTTCAAGTACTGTAGGATGACGTTTTGTAGCATGTGACTTTTTAGGTTGATTGGACAACCTGAAAATTTCTTGCCTCAAATAATCATCTTTGTACAGGCATCCTCAAGTCTTCTCAGTCTGAACACTGCTGTAAACCACAATACAAAAAACAGCTTTGAAGTATTCCCAGTAGTAATCTTGAAATTTCTTCAAGTATATTGAGATTTTGTTAGAAACTGAATTGCCAGTGTAATCCATCTTCCTTGTGAGAAAAGATTCAGATAAAGAGCTGGAGCCTAGCAGCATTAAGTATTAGAACATCCCTTTAAATCAATAAGCTACAAATCTGGCAGTGCATTCATGCAATGCCCAGTGCTACCTTAAAGTGGCTTTAATGCTGAAACAGCACTACTAATAGCACATCCCCAACATGGATAAACAGTTGAGTAATGCAGTAACCCAACGTAAATGAGGCCTTACCTAGTTAAGTTTCACAAAAAACATTTATATTGTATTGACATAGATAAGAAGGTAAGTTTCTTCTCTTTTTTCCTTTCTTTTTTCAGATGACTTTCCAAACGTAGTTATAGATGGCATTCTACATGGAATATTCTATCCTCATTTACTGCCCAGGTAGAAGTAATACAAGGCAAGAAGAAGCTGAAGCAAGTCTCTGAGTCATGGTTAACAGAACTAACAGGAATAAAATTCTGTGATGTGAAAATTATGCTCAGAAGAAAGAGGCACAACCTTAGATTAAGTTCAAGCATTATGTCTTTTTAAATAAAATCACTGTCATTACAGTTGCTGCTTTTAAAAAAAAAAGAAGATATGGAAACAACAGTATTGAAGTTATTTATACCTTCTATATATTGACATGCTCTATTTAACACTAAATGTTCTAAGTCATACACTGTATTATGCTAACCTTTGAAGAGAAAAGTTTTACTAATTATTTCTATAATTGCTATTAAAGCAAACACTAAACAATTTTGCACCAGGATTTTTCCCAGCACATTACCCATTGCTGGCACTGGATGGATTATAAGTGCTGAAGAGAGTGTGTGCAGAATTGGAAACATGCTTTCACATTCTGAAACACATAGCACTCTCTGAGGAAATTTTCTAGATTTCAGTTGAAATTATTTTACTTACCAAGAGCTTTTATGTGGCTTTTACACATCTAACCTATGTGTTTGTTTATTCTCCACATCAACTTGCTGACTGTATTCCATATATTAACATTTTATAAGTGACAGAACATAGAACTATGTGGTAAACTAAAGCAAGAATATTATGAAGATTATGATCAAACTAAAACTGATACATATATATGTATGTTCAGATTTAACTGGAAATTTGTACACGTGCTACTGGACATTACAAAATAAATAACTAGGACATGAATGTACGACTTCAGTGGCTTTTTCTGTGCTTTTATATTGAAATTTTTCTGAGATTTTGTCATCTGAAAAGGGTCTTACAGATGTCTCCCTATGAAGTGTGAGAAAATAACTGTGTCTGCTCACTTAAGGCTCTTAGCTTAGCTGAACATGGTAGCCTTACAAAACTGGATGTCTTGGTGAACAAAAATCAGTGTAATGGAACACACAGTAGGTCACTGGGGCTCATCAGCAGGAGTGTTACACAAAAGTAGCAATGGCAAAGCTGGGCACAAACATACGTCTGATCCTGGAGATACATGGGTTGCCTGTTCTAACTACTAAATGTGTTTGGAAGCCATTTGAGGAGAGTGGAAAGCTAGGACTTGGTAAAAAGGTAGGCCTGTGACTACAGCACTTGTTCAGGTAGCATAACTTTATGAGGTCTATAGGTTCAGACTCCAGGGAAGTTTTCATCTACTGGCAGAAAGCTGGTTGGGCAAGGCAGTCTGAGGCATTCTCACTCCTGCTTGCTCACCCTGCTCCCAGAGCTGCTTTTTAGAAAATTTTACTTTAAACAGCTAGTAGAAAGGAAAGTGATTGGGGTAAAATGGAAATCTCATTGCCTAGCACTAGATAAACTTAGAGGCCCTTGCCAAGTTCTCCTCCACTTTTGTTTGCAGAGGACAGTAATCCTTTCACAGATCTCTGGAAAGAAGTGTCAGTATTTACCTTCAGGAGAGGCCCCAGAGCTGTGGATGAAGAACCAGCAGGAGCATCCTCTAACTGCAAATGACAGGAGAATCTGGGTTAAATCCCTGTCCACAGCTTTTTCTTGTTTCCTTGTGAGTGGAATGCCAATAGGTACCCACAAGCTCTGTGCTGCAGCAGCCTCTTCTACCCTGAATCACTTCAACTCTGGATACCTCACATGGGCTCCAGGATGCCCTTCAGGAAGTTAGTCACTACAAACAGGAGTGGTGTGCTGCCCATTGTACAGGTGGATGAATCCTTCATCAGATCTTGGCACTGCCTCTTCTGTCTTGAGTCTTAAAACAGCTCAAAAGGAAAAAAAAAAACACTTATCTTCCCTGTGGAGTTCTGTAAGAACTTAACACAGATGTCTCTTAAGCGTTACCCTCCACTGACCTTCTCTGAAAGCTACCAGTTGTCAGTTTAAGAGCTATTTATGAAGCATCACCAAAAAAAATGAACCTAAAGTTCTCCAACTTATAGCAAAACTTAAACAAAAAGCATTTGAGCTTAAAATAAGTAACATTAGTTAGGTATTACAAAATTCACCATGCTGTAAAACAAGGATTCTTCTCTTTTAATCAGTTTCTAACTAATTATCTCATTCAATAATAGAAAAGCTGCTTGTTCTTGATCGCAGAATGGTATCTAAATAATAAATAAAGACCGTAGGGACTTTTATCTGACATGTTAAGATTAGGAAAATTTACCATCTCTGCTCTAACCTTACAACCTTATCTACTGAAAAGCAAAACCTCCTGCATATTTTTTGGAATCAACAGAGGTGAGAAAAAAGACTTTGGGGAGTGCAGTAAAAAATGCTCTCAAGTATTTATTTGAAATCAAAGTTTATTTATTCAAAACACTTCCATCTTTTTTTTTTTTAAGTTTTTAAAAATGCTGGCAGTGTTACAGTAAATATTTTCAGTTGAAAATACAAAAACAAATATTGCTAAAATTTCCAAACAGAACAAAATTACTTTAAATGTTGAAAAAATAGAATTACTGCTACCCTAAAGTGCTATAATTTTTTATTGAAGACTTTTCTGCAAGAAAAAGAAGGTTTTTTTCTGCAAGATCTAGAATTTGGTGGCATATGTCTTGAATTTCAGAGTGGCAGCTCCAACAAGTTGTTACAGAAATAGTCCTATCTTTTCTGTATTTGGCAAATGATAAGTATTGCCTAAATGTAACTTCCTGTGTTTTAAGGAGAAAACTCAGTGGATCAATGAGATTGCTCAAAAACTTGCATTAAAGAAAAGTGATTAAGTTTTACTTTTCATTCTGAGTATTGTTCTCACCAGTCACCAACTTCAACTACAAACGGTTCCTTTACAGCTATTTTGCCACTGTTGACAATCACGCAGTCTTGAAGGGGCCGATCATGTTCATCTGTCTGCTGGAGTTCTATTGAGTGCACCACAGACTGTCAAATAAAAAAAGAACAAACAGAAAGGTTCAGTTTAGCCAAAGAAACTCCAGCGGCTGAAGTCTGGTGCCACGGAAACAACGAAGTGTGTCTAACATCACTGCTTATTAACCAGCTTGTGAACAAAGACCTTTACCCTGTCAACTTCCCACATTCTTTTTTTTCCACATTAGCAGTTGTGCCACTCTGTAAATCACACACAGCTGACAGAAGCACAGGAAAAGCTGTTTGCCCTCCTAGAAAATATTTCAGCCAACAAAAACATTTTGAAGGGGCAACTGAAAATGTACTTTCAGCTGATTAAGCTGGCACATACAGGATTTTATCTGTGGCCTGTGAGCGGAAAGTGAATCCAGAGATCAGAAAATGTGAGCATTATTTTTCTAATTGTACAGTATAACTGTGCTTACAGAAATCTGGTTACTGCTTTAACCTTTAGCACACAACACACACATACAGATTTTAGTGTGGTACCTTGCCACCAATATTTTTAAAAGACAAAATTCATTTAGGTTTATTGACAACTTGGTTTTGGATATGCATTCATTAATCTGACTAAACTGAAACTTCAGTCTAAATATCTTCTCAAAAATTTACAGCTACTACTGTAGATCAATTTAAATGGAATTCAGTATGAATATGGAAGTGAAGGGCAAGTATTCTGATGCCTTTTTCAAACTCCTCAAAGTCCAGTAGCTCATGTTTTCCCCAATAATTTAAATACACAGATTAAAAAGGAGTCATTTTTAGGGAAAACCAGACTAATAAAAGTATAATCATTTGTAAATATAATTTTTTAGCTTAAAATTCTATTTGGACTCTCATCGGTATGTGTTTGCATCCTTTACATTCACATGTTTCTAAAAACCCTTAACAGTGAAAGTGTTACCTATAACTAGCATGTGCTACAAAATTTAATTTTAGCCTGTACAAAAAGAATTATTTCATGGGTAACAGTGTTACTGAAAGGAGGAGATGAACTTTCTCCATTTGTAATCTGCAAGTGTCAGAGTTCATTTCAGTTGTTAGCAGCCTGAAATAATGGCTGTGAAAGGCAAAAGCATGGTACAGGTTTCCATTTCTGCTATTTCAGTTCTAAATCATCCAGCTGGAGCTCTTCACAATCGTTTTCTACCGTGTACATATTGGATGAATACTCAACTGTTTCTGAACTATGGTAACAGGGATCTAATGGGTCCAGATAATAATTTGTCCAGATCAACCACTACTTTAAACTTACCATTCCATCAAGGACTTTGCCAAATACTACATGTTTTCCATCTAGCCAGGAAGGCTTTGTCACACTGATGAAGAACTGGGATCCGTTGGTGTCGGGGCCGGAATTAGCCATGCTAACCCATCCAATTCCATAGTGTTTGAGCTTGAAGTTCTCATCAGGAAACCTTTCTCCATAGATGCTTCTTCCTGTGACAAAAAAATAAGAAAGCAAACTTACTTAAAAAAAAAAAAAGAACATAATCAAACAAGAGCCTCTTTTTGTTCAAAAATGGGAAAAGCCAAGTATGAATTCAGGACTTGAAGGTTCATTGTTTGAGTAAACACAGCAGCATCACTGTTCAAGCATCAGCAACTCCATAACTAAAATCATTTTGTGTGTAAAGGTGAGCTAAACCACCACACATAAGGAGAGAATAGCTAAAGCTGATGATGTTTTATGCTTCGAATTTAAGCAAGCTGAATACCTTCAAAGGTCTGGTTTACAGATACCACTGAACAATAGTATACTTCATCTTGCTGAGCAAATTAAAGTACATTCTTATGGTCACGAACAATAAGGCTGCCATGTTTTGTGACAATTTCAATATTTAAACCTTTCCCTTATGCTAAGAAATTGCTTTAGGCATGTTTAGAAACATAGGAAGACCAAATGGAAATCAGACTAAAATACTTTGTGTGGATGTGTCCCATGACACAAAGATTCTGATGTTGCTAAAGTAGTTCAGGGAGAAAACACGTGAGTCATGGTCAAACCACCATTACTCTGAAAAGAGAAGGCTGTCTAACTCCTTACTTGTGCAGTGCCTAGCACAATGGGGACACCCAACACCACCAGGTGCTATCCCAATGAACAACATCAGCAGGCAAATACATGCTTCCTACCTTTAATGCTAAAACTATGTCTTTGGTATTATGGTCTTCCCCTTTGTTCACTGCTAGGAAAAGGAATGTGTGTTTTCCATTCTATCCCAGCAGGAAAATCTCTAACAGTTCATGCAGACAGTTCAAATCGTAGCATGTGAAGAATGTTCATGTAAAGGAAGAGAAGAAATCAGCAGCCAGTGAGTGCAGAGCAAGAGATGCTGTGCTCGCACTGCCCCCCGAGTGGACTGAACTGTTCTTCTGGAGGCTCAGGAGGGAGAACTGATACACCCAGCCAGGACTCACAGCACCACAAGTTTATGATTTCAGTTTTAGTAAGAGAAAAAAGGGGAGAGGGCATAACTACTCTAATTTCTTTCTCTCTCCCTGTTATGGAATTCCTTCTCACAGCACATCTCAGAGGTTCCTCAGAACGGGCTGAGCTGAGGGCAGAGGACAGCCTCCTTCTTCCCTACCTGCCTTCCCTCTATGCGCTTTCACTTTCATCACGGATTAGACTTCTGCTGGATGGCTTGAATAGGTTCACCTATACATGCAATCAGTGAGTGCCTCAGGGAAGGAGCGCTGTCACAAAGCCAGAGCAGGGGAAGGGTGGAGACATCCATCTTTTGGAGACGGTAAGTTGTAGGAGCAGCTCAGCTGGTCACGTGGCTCCAGCCCAGCACGCAAAGCCATGCTTCTTGAATGGGGACAAGTCACAGACAGAAAAGAGCTATCTGCAAAAATTGAGGACAAAGGAAGAGCTACACATACTTATAAATCAGATAATCCAAATAGCTGCAGCTTAGGCTACATGATACTTGGAAAAGTACTAGATGCTCTAAAACAAACGTGGGCTGGTTTGGTGTTATTTCATTTATCTGAGCAGAAACCATGAAGGAATATGCTGGTTTGCCCATATTTTCAGCAGACATTTGAACAAAGAAAAGGGAACCTGGAAGATACTAAGTATGTTACCTCCTGATCCATCTCCAGCTGTAAAGTCTCCTCCTTGAATCATGAAGTCTTTGATCACACGATGAAATTTACTTCCTTTGTATCCATATCCTCTCTAAGGAAATGAAATAATTCTTTAAATTAATGTAACATCCAGTTCTATACATCCAGTTTTATACAATCACTCACACAAGTTGTGTGTGAATGGCTAGATTTCACAGAATATATCACTGAGGGATGTAATACTGTTAAGAAACACATTAAACTGAGGTGCAAGTAAACACAGCTGCACTGCCACAAAGAAGGTGTTATTCAGGTGATCAAAGCCATTGTCTTTATTTGAGTGGTATCTGACCACAGTAACTCCACATGCTAGGTCTGCAAGGCAGGGACAGATTGAGGTGCTCATATCCAGCATCTTGTTACATCTTATGAACCAAGGACCTGAGAAGACACACATTAGTGCACATCCTTGGGGATGGCACTTGTGCACAGGCTCCAGTGAATGAAGACTGAAACTGCATCAAACAAACACTGCCTTCCCAAGCCAAACTTCAGTACACAGTGGAAGAAAACCACAAACGTACTTCTCCAGTTGCCAACGCAATGAAGTTCTCCACGGTCTTTGGGACAACTTTTCCAAACAGTCCAATTACAATTCTGCCAACATCTTTGTCTCCAATCTTCACGTCAAAGAACACCTAAATATTTTTTGTGAAGGGAACAAAAGTGATATAGATATGAGCACAACAAACAACCAAGCTTTTCAAAGAGTAAGGTGGTAAGAAATTACTTCTGGCTGGTCAGTACTAATAATATCTGGCAACTCCTAAGGGTGTCGTTTCAGAGAAATCCTTTCAGAGCCTCCAAAATCAGGTTATGCAGAGAACTGCTTTTAATGGCTTGGTAGGGCTACTGTATCTCAAGTTTGAAGATAGTGTTCAAGAAGATTTTTCCAGGACACGTAAGTCTTTAAAGTTGAATGGAAAAAATGAAATATGAAAGTAAGGATGAACAACAATGCTATTCCCATATGGGAGAAAATAACAGGGAACTATGGTGCTGACACTCCCCACAAATGACAATTTGCTATTCACTCATGATCTTCACTGTTCTAGGCATCAGTATGTATACACAAAAGCCTAAATTCCATGAACTGACAAACAGTGGGAAGAAAATCTTACGGCTCAAGCAAGCAGTCACCTTCCTAAACATGAATTCAAACCCAGCAGAGAAATAACCAGACCAGCTTATTCAGCTGATTGCCTAAAAGGGGCAATGTATATGTCACTGAAAAGCAACTTCAAAAAGATAAATGAGTTATAAGACATTTTAATATAGTTCAGAATCTATGAATGCATATTTGAACGTGCAAAAATGTTCCAATAATTACTGAAAATAGGAACAGCTGTCAGGAAATGAGGCATTTTGAAGTTCTGAAAAAGTTACATAAAGGCTATTACAACTTCTAGGAAACAGCAATGTGTACTCCTATGATGTGGTATTTGCTGTTCCTTGTGGCACTCAACCAAGTATTACTTGTCTGTAATGCTAAGAAATTAGTCCAATAATGATAATAAATGACCACAGTCTCTCCAACATGAATGCCTCTTTCACGCTCTCCTACTAAACATTTTTACCATTTCTTGATCTTCCATGTGGTTTTGACTGTTGAACTTTTGGCTAACACTATAAAAGCCCTACAAAGGAAATAAAATTCCTTTTGATACACCTCATCCATTTCCTTGGCACTTGGCACTGAATAACATGCTTCTTAGATGTGTGGCTCCCAAAGTATTAACAGCACACTTTCACTAACTTCTTAACAGTTTTATAAACAAGCCCCTCTGAACTGTGCTGCCAGGGTTATCTAGGTAAGGGATATTGCCTTCCTACGATTTCTAACCCATTGCTTGTCTATTTTGCCTGGAAATGTTGTTCAGTAGGACTGCCTGAAATACATAGGCATACATAAGTAACAAGACTCAGGCTACCAAACAATCACCCCACAGAGCAGGAACATCATACACTTTGTTGACAGCACAAGGAGACAAGTTCATCATATGCTGTAAGCCTACCACAGCCACAAGGCTTCATACGTGGCACTGCTGCCTGCCTAAGGAGCAAACCCAGCACTTTTAAAAATGTGTCTCTGTGTATCTTTGGCCACAAAATCAAGTATGGAAATATTTGTTAGCCCTAAACACTATTTCTGCATAGAAAAGCCATGTTTCTCATGTGTGTATTTCCACAGGTTTTCTGGAAATTCAGTAAGCATGTAGACACTAGTAGGCTGTTCGATACACTTTTAAATCTCAAAAAACATCTGGCCAAATTATTCACCAAAAACACTGAAAAAAAAATAAATATTATAAATCTTCTATCTTATTAATATTTTTATAAATATTTAATCGTATTTACAATCTGAAGTATTTCAAGACTGAAATGAAAAAAGGACACACCAATAAGAGTGGCTGGTTCTCATAAAAATATTCATGTATAATTTACACAAGATGTTTGAAAAAATGGACAAGAGCATTCAATTATTCAGGGAAACTAAAGCTGACTTTGAAAGGACGATCTCATGATTCTTAGAGACCAGGTAATGTAATAACCTCCTAAATGCAACAATACATGGTATAAAGCCACAACAAGGGGGCCAAAATACATCTGGAATCATCCTGAGAGAGAAGTTTGGCTTTGGGCTTGTGAAGGTCAGAGGAGGAAAACAAATACTAGAAATAATTAAAATGGATACAGGAAAGAGATGGGCATCTTGAGTGCCCAATCAAGATGGGCACATCTGTACTGTGAGTTCGTACCCTGAATGATGCATGTCATTCTGGCTTCTCTATTGCAGAATGATAAAACCAACCTAAAAATGTAGAAAAATGGGCAGAACAGATGCTTAACGGGTATGGATTACCTCTTATATGAAGAAAGGTTACAGAAACTACTTAAACTGGGAGAAAACTAGTGTGATTTGATGATGAGCTTTGTAAAGTTACCACTGCCTAGGACATGGGAAACTGGCAACGCAATTTTTTATGTGCCACAACAATCAGAAAAGGACATAAAATTATAGCCCAGGCAGAAGGAATGAAGAAGGAAAGTGCTTCATGCATAATTAAATGGCAATATACTGCCAGAAGATTATTTGGAGGTCAAATTTACCCCTCCCCCCAAAAAAAAATAAAAAAAAAAAATCTGTGGTCTAGAAGTCCATGGCAATGACACTGTAAGCAGTTGCAGACAACAGCAGTAATGAAGTACAAAGGCACAGTCCATGGCTTAGGATGCCTAAGGCATGCTAGAGGAAGCAGTTCTGCCCCTGCCCTTCCCTGTCACACTTCCATGAGTGTCTTTCCCAGCATGGACACACGCTCTCCTAACTGCAAGTGGAAAGACACTTGTAGGCTGAAACATGGAATTCCTGCTTTATCCAAAGTCGGACTAAACACCCCACCTCCTGCACCAATTTTTTGGGAAGAGATGCTGGTGTGCTGCAGTACCTAGGTGTCTCACTATCCTGCCGGCAGGCCCCACAGCCCACATCTCCTGGGCAGTGCCATTGCAATGGCCACGTGTGCCACAGGCGCACAGCCCAGCCATCGTACCTGCCCAGGAGCCCTGCAGCACTGAGCCCCACGGATCCTGGCCTGCAGCTCTCCTGGCAGCCTCCAGCACCTACACCTCCCCTGGGGCCAACAAAGGGACTGCCCTCACAATGAGCAAACCAAGAGCTTCACAGAATGACAGAATGGGGGGCAGAGTGGAAAGGAGTCATCTGGCCCAGCCTCTCCACTCCAGCAGGGCCATCCCAGAGCACATGACACAGAATTGTGTCCAGATGATTCCTGAATATCTCTTGTGAGGGAGACTCCACAGCCCCTCTGGGCAACCTGTTCCAGTGCTCAGTCACCTGCACAGTAAAGGAGCTCTTCCTCCTATTCAGGTGGAACTTCCTGCGCATCAGTTTGTCACCACCAAGCAGAGCCTGCTCCATCCTCTTGGCACCCTCCCCTCACATACTCATAGACATTGATAAGGTCCTTTCTCAGTCGTTCCTTCTCCAGGCTGAAGAGGCCCAGCTCCCACAGCCTTCCCGGCAAGAGATGTTCCTCTCCCCAGATCAACTTTGTAGTCCTCCGCTGGATCCTCTCCAGGAGTTTCAGCAGAGAAGGCAGGGGGGAATGGATAAAACCCAGATGAGCCCAGCGTAGTTAAACGCCCCCTGCTCGGGGCAGACTGGCAGCATCAGCAGCCCCAAACTGCCCTGGCAGCAGCAGAGGCTGCAGCAGCGGCGGAGGGGTGAGGAATTTAAAAGTTTCCACTTCTGCAAGCCAGAGGGAGGCTTTGCTGGCCTCTGCGGTGCGCCAGCGCCTACAGAAAGGCGGCATGCCCAAAGGGATTAAACAGCCGGTAACCAACCAACCAACCAACCGAAAAAAACTAATAAAACGGTGAAGTTCTGGCGTTCGGCCAAGCCTGCCCCAAGCCCTCTGTGCCCGGGATGCGGCGCGGGGCGGGCTGTAGGAGCGGGGCAGGGCAGAGGCCGGCCGGCTCCCCCGGCACCGCCGCCACGGCCGCGGGACATCCCCGCCGCGGGCCCCGCCCGACACCTCCCGAGGCTTCCCACCGGCGGAGACGCCGCCCCGGCCGCGGGCGAGAGTCACCTTGGCTGTCACGCTGGGTCCCCTCCTCTTGAAGGCCTCGGCCGCCGGGGCCAGGAAGCACAGACAGGCCAGGGCGCCGAGCAGCGTCCCGCGGGCCATGGCGCCGGCCGAGCGCTGCGGCGCCTGCGCCGGGGTAGGGCGGCTCCTCCCGCGCCGGGGCGGGGGGCTCCGGGGAGCCACCGCCCGCCCCAGGGAGCGAGGGAGCGGTCGTCCGTGCCGGGGAAACGCCGCCAGTCCAGGAGAAAGTGCCGCCAATGCCAGGGACTGGTCACTCACCCTAGGGATCGGTCATCCATCCCGGCAGGAGCGGTGACCCGCCCGGGGACTGAGCTGCGGTCCCGGCGCTGCCCGGGTGCGGGGCTGCCAGGACGGCCTGGCTGGATTTGGGGCGAGTGCAAGTGCCAGGCTCGGCCATGCACGTTCCTGATGGGCGGCGGGGAGCCGTGTGCCCTCCCCCGGCCAGCCGCGCCCCACGGGAGCTGCAGTGCCTGAGAGGGGCACGACGGCCCAGCCTTCGCCTACGGCCAGGCTGTGTGCCCAGGAAGGTCCCACATGTAGGTGGAGTAGGTAAAACAGTAAATGCTTAAGGGATTGAGCCAGCCTTTCCTTGTGGGAAAGGGCAGTCATATCCTGGGCTGCATTCGAAAGAGCGTTGCCGGGAGGTCGAGGGAGGTGTTCCTGTTCCTCAGCCCTGGTGAGGACACATCGGGAGTGCTCTGTCCAGTTCTGGGCTCCTAAGCATTAAGAGAAGTGTGGAGCTCCCAGAGTGGGTCCAGCACAGGGCAAGAAAGGGACAAGAACATCCCTCTTTTGACCAAAGAAAGGCTGAGAGAGCTGGGCCTATTCAGCCTGGAAAAAAGTTACTGAGATGGGCCCACATTAATATCTATGAGTATCTGAAGGGAGGATGTCAAGAGTCTGTACCAGGCTCTGCTTGGTGGTGCCCAGCAATAGATAAGAGGCAACAGGCCTAAACTGATGTACAAGATGGTCCACTTGATTACAAGCAAGAATTTCTTTACTGTGCAGGTGGTTGCACATTGGAACAGATTGCCCAGAGAGATTGCAGAGTCTCCGCCACTGGAAATACTCAAGAACCATCTGGGAATAATCCTGTGCCATGTGCTCTAGGACAACCCACATGGCCCACTGTGGTCCCTTCCAACCTGACTAGTTCTCTGATTCTGTGATTTTGGAAGTGGGTCTTTGATCTTTGCTGTATTTAATGTGCTGAGTAGAAACAGGAGCCTGTGAGGCACTTGTAATACTTTTGGGCTCATTTGTGCTCCCAGTGGTATGCACTGCTTTGCACCCATGTCAGCTTGCACCTCTGGCTTTGGACAATAAACAGCAGCACTAAAGGAATTCATCAAACACAAACATTTCTCCCAAGCCATTACGTGCTAAAAAAATCATTTGCATTCAGGACCTGCTTCAAATGGTATTGCTGCAGCAGTCCCTAGAAAATTTGTAAATTGTAGCACACAGTGAAATTTTGTGGCCCCTCAGCTGCCAGCCGTATGAAAGTTATAATAGATGCCAATACACTGTAAGCAGGAAGCTGTCAATGGCTTATGTAAACACATTGAGGCTTAAACCCAGCAGCGCTGTGGTTCTGGGTGTATGGCACAGATCTCAAACAGACAATTGCAAGTCCAGCCCAGAGCTCAGATGCAGTGCCCAGGAGAGAATGTGCTCTGCACCACTGCAAGTGCACTGCATGTCTGCTGAACCCCTCAGCTTTAGACTGTGCCTCAGCTGGCAAGTAGTAGAGACAATAGCCACAGAGTCATAAAATTGTTCAGGTGAGAGAAGACCTTTAGGATCATGGAGTCCAACCATTAACCAAACACTGCCAAGCCCAGCACTTAACCATGTTCCTAAGCACCACATTGACATGTTCTTAAAATACCTCCAGAGTTGGTGATTCTACAACTTCCCTGGAAAGCCTGTTCCAGTGCTTGACAGCCCTTTTCACAAAAGAATTTTTCATAATATCCAACTTAAGCCTTTCCTGGCACAGTTTTGGGATATTTCCTCTTACCTTAAGACTTGCTACTTGAGAGAAAGAGGTTGACCCTCCACCTTGCTACAGCCTCCTTTCAGGTTGTTGAAAAAGTGATCAGGTGTCCCCTTGGTTGTTATTTTATCCCTCATCTGATCCTCATCAGATCTGTGCAACAGGCTGTTCCCCACCTTCGTTGACCTTCCCTGGACACACTTCAGCACTTCAACATCTTTCTTGTAGTGAGGGGCCCAAAGCTGAACCCAAAATTTAAGTGGCCTCACCAGTGCCCAATACAGGGTGACAGTCTCTTTCTTTGTTGTGCTGGCCACACCATTTTTGATACAGATTAGGATATCATTTCCCTGTCTGGCCACCTGGACACAGTTGGCTCATGTTCAACTACTGTCAACCAGCACCCCCAAGTCTTTTTCAGCTGGGCCACTTTCTAGCCACTCTGCCCCCAGCCTGTAGCATTGCTTGGGGCTGTTGTGACCAAAGTGCAGGACCTGGCACTTCCTCTGTTGAATCTCATCATCTTGGTTTCAGCCCATCAATCCAGCCTGTCCAGATCCCTCTGCACAGCCTTCCTAACCTCCAGCAGATCA